ACCGGGGCTACAGAACTGCAGCTATGGTTGACGCCGCATTTTAGCTTGAGCAACTAAGTGTATTCTCTGCTGATTTGTGTGTCGTCTCTCAGTGGCCCACATAGTGCTCGGTCACACGAGAGAACAATGACATAGCCGACAACATTGGCAGGAAAAACTGTCAAAACTTCAACGGCTACGAAATCTTCGAGTCAAATTGTCTCCTATATGTCACCAATCCACTGTGATAGATATATGATCCCATTGTTCAGAGGTGGGCGGGGCCCGTATCGAACAAAAACACTTGGACTTAGAAACCCCAATAGAAACCCCATTCTTTACCAATCACGAACGATGACCTTTGGTAACTGGGACACAACTGAGGGGATTGTTTTTGATTAAAAATAAGTTGAACTTTACAAATTAAAGTCAATAATTTACTAGAATTAAAAAAACAACCTCAAAACGCTTAAAATTCGATGAAGGCAATTAATATTACATTTATAAAAATACTGATTAAAATGTTCATATAAAGTGAACACAGTAGAACACAATGTTACAATGGATATTAGATATTAATAATTATAAAATATTTTTATTCATGTGGCAGGTGTGGAGCGAGAAACAAGTGTGGAAGGACACCATCTTGGATTGAATCCCGGTAACGGAGTAAATTCTGACAAAATTGAGTACTTGGAAGAAAAGCCTTTTGTAACCATAGCAACGAAATCCACCGACAACATGCTTTCTGTAAGCCTAATGAATGATAACACCTTGGTAACGGAGACAACTCTGGAAGAATTGGTTGACATCCTGGACACACCTCAGTTTCATAGCAGAAGTGACCAGGATGGCCTCAAAGAACGCCTTACGTTGGATCATCAAGCCAAGTGGCCTATTTGACACAGGTAAACATCTCACAATAAAAGAGTACCCCCTAACTCTAATCGTATTCCTACCCTCTGGTGCTTCCCTATATCAGGGGTTTTCCTAGAAAAAAGGGAGCACTGCAATTCAGCGTGCCACCAAGTGGAGGAGATAGGGTGTGGAGTTTTTGATAATTCTAAGTTAAAATGGAGTATTCTATGGCTTCCTTGGGGCGAAAATTACTATCAGAGGTCACAGTTGAAGACTGTGGCCACATGTGATCCCTGGTCATTCAGAATTTTACGGTTGCCAGAGGATCTGCTCCCCAGGGTAAGGGGATTCATGGCCATGGTATGAGGGCGCTGCGCCCCTGTTCCTTTGTTTAAAAAAATCCCTGCTATATAAGTACATGCCCTTACTATAGTTATCTAGAGTGGGCATATAATCACAAATACATAAGTGATTTTCACTGTGAGATCTTGCGTGTGAGGCATGGAGTGAGTGGATGTCTACTGCAAAAAAATCTAATGATTTGGTTTTTATTAACTTCAATTTTATAGTTCAATATCAAATGCCTCACCTCAGAGAGGAATATGAGATATCCTTACTTAAGGGTATCACAATTGATAGATATAACCAAACACTAGTTTCATATTTGTTGAATTTCATGCAATGTTTTGATGTCATCGCCCTTGTTCTGTTTTTACTTTCGATTTTATGCATAATGCAAAATCTTGTAGTGAAAATAAAAGGCTGGAGGTGAGGGTTTGAGTTAGGGTTAGGAGTAGGGGTACAAAACGAATTCTTTCCCTGCTTTTAGTGGTTATAAGAAATATAACAAAAAATTATTTTATATTTGTTAAAAGACGTTAAGACAATAATTCAGTTGAATTAAATAGAGGTCAATGAGGGTCAAAGGTCACCAGTCTCGGTGAAAATAACCATTTTGTCTTTGTTGTTTTTAGGTGACACCGATCTGTCAGATCTGATACTGACGGAATCGGACATCTTGAAACTGGCCGTTGACCAATCAGAACTGTTCCCTGTATTGAGTGATGTGATGAACAGTGAGGATGGTATATTATCTCCTGGTTTGACCTGTGAGGGCAGTATTCCATCCCCAAGATTTGATGACATTATGGGGGACGTGTTCTTTGATGATTTCACGGACTTGAACAGTTTCATATCGGGGGTGAGTAGAAGTATACCATTCCCTCATGTCAAGAACTGCTCTCCACCCCTTTAATACATAATGGTTTATCCCATAAAACAAGTTTAAACTTTTCTCATTTGTCATCTATAAAAAAAAAATATACTAACGTCACCACAAACCTATTCTCTTAATTTTTATAAATGTATGAATTTCAAGCACAGTAACATTATGTTATGTTATTTCATCAACCAAAAGAAACAAATTGTGAAATTAATAAATTTAATTCAGTGAATTTCACTTATAAAAGAAATAGAGAAATTAAAAACCAGTGAATAATTAGTATTGAATCCAGCAATGGAATTGTATACATCCTCCAAAATGGTGTCTTGGTAACCATGTCGCATGCATAATTAATGAGCTGTATGCATAACTAATGAGTATATGAATATATAATGAGCATCATGAATATTCATGTGGGGGAGATTTCACAACCTGATGCAAGATTAGTAGTCTGAAGTGAAACGACTTGAGTTAAAAATGAAAACAATTCATAAGAATATTCACTCCAGACACATCCAGATATGCATATACACTAGTGCTCTCTGTTACAATGAGATTTATGGTGATTAGAAACTATTTTATTTTTTCGTGATATTTTCTAGATCTATTGGGTATTCTTCTTTGCAATTGTTCTGTACTAGCACTGTTACTGTAAAATTTTCACTTCACGTAATTTCATTATTTTCACTTTTTGAGTATATTCCCTGGGTTTACAAATTTTCTTAGTAAACAATGAGTTATATTGTAACTTAACATGAATTTAATTTAGCTGATTTTAATATTTTGTTGAATTTTTAGTATTGATATTCTAAATTTCTAACACTATGCACTGCCTTTATCCACGGTTTGTTTTGATTCGTTAGTTGACCTCAAAATCTATTTTGGTTTTCTTGCATCAGATTTTTAGATTTAATTCATGACTTTTTCTGCAAAAGTAGTTAAAGAAATTTTGTGAATATTTTATTTTGATTTAAATTATTTATTTGCTAATTTGTCTGAAGAGTATTGAAATATTTCTAGTTGTATTCACTACTTACTTTATAACTGTAGTTGTCAAGAGTGGCTCTTTAATGTACTTTACCTACCCTTCATCCCTTCCTAAAAGTAAACAATTATTCTATTCTAATAATTCAATTATTTTGTTTTAATTGTATATCCCATAATATCCACAAAATTAATAATTAAATATTTTTGTTCTCAACAGGAGGAAACTGTTCAAGAAAATGAGGTGACAGTAACTGATAGAACAGCCATTGAAGCTGTTACATTAAGTATACCAACTCCTGCTGAGGAAACACCTTCTGTCTCTGGATTCTCCCCCAGGAAGCGGAAACTCAGCGATAATAATGATAAGATCACAGAAGAATTAGAAATAGTCGGCAAAAAGATCAGAACAGAAAACATCACTAAATACCGAGAGAGACGAGACAAGAACAACATTGCATCAAAGCGATCTCGTGAAATTCGTAAGACTAAGGAATCCATGATGGAAATGAAAGCCAAAGAATTGGAGGAAAGTAATCAGAAACTAAACAAACAAATAGATGAGATGACAAAACAAGCTGAGTTTCTGAGGAAAAAGTTGATTGAGACCTTAGCAATAAAAGGTCAACCACAATTTAAAAAATGAGATTTTCGCAACGAAAGGTCACAGCTAATAATCAAACCCTTTCATTGTCACATTTTATCACATGTGTGAACTTATATATTAAAGTGAAACAGTCATCACTCTACGTTGTGTTCGATATGGGTCCCACACTACGTATGCAATGACGGGTTGACTGAGCTGCTTTACAAATTGATGACTTTTTTTATAATTAATAAATTTTAATAATTTTGGATGTTTGCAATTAAAAAAAAGCTGACAATGAAAGGGTCATTAAATATTTTGCCATTATTGGCTTGTACCTGTGTAATGAATATTCATGAGGTAAATATGTAACTCTGACACAAATAAATGTCATTATTGATACGGTGAAAACACTCTTTGGTAGAATCAAGTTATTTTGATTTAATTACAAATTATCATTTACAGTAAGGCAAAAATCTAGCTCCAAAAAAAATCATTCTAAAAAAAATTACTGCCTAACATGGAAAAACATGTTAATGGGAAAAGAAGGGAGATTGTTTGGTTATAGGAATATACATTGGGGGGGGGGGGTTAAAGTAGGAAATGGGGGTTGTTTGTTAGGAACAATATGTGCAGGTATCCAAGCCTGTTAGTACATAGTCATTGCATTATTGCCCACTCAGCACTGAGTTATTGACACAAATAGGATTATTCCATCTTAAAATTGTAGGGGTGGGGTGGAGTGGGGAGGGGTTGTTATATGCAAAATAAATGTGTATC